GAACTTGCACATGAATATTTACAGCAGCTTTATTTACAATTCCTCAAAATAGGAAGCAACCAAGTGCTTCAATATAGGTAAATGAATAAACTGTGGTATATTCATACAATGGATTATCATTCAACAATAAAAACAAATGAGCAATCAATCCATGAAAAAATATGGAGGAACCGCAAATGCATACAGCTAAGTGAAATAAAGGAGCTGTGGTAGCATAGTGCCTAAGGCACTTGACTGCTAACCAGAAGGCTGGTGGTTCAAACCCACCAGCCACTCCTCGGAAGGTTGGGCAATCCTACTTCTGTAGTGATACTGCCTCAGAAACCCAAGGAGGGGTCGCTATGACTCGATGGCAAATAACAACAACAACAACAAGTGAAATAAGGCAGTCTGGAAAAGCTACATACTACATGACTCCAACTATACAAATTCTGGAAAAAGCACTACTACAGAGAAAGTAAAGAGATTAGGGGACCAGGGAAAGGGGAAGGGATGAACAGGTAGAGCAGAGGGCATTTTTAGGGCAGTGAAATTATTCTGTATTATACTGTAAATGTAACAGTGGACACATAATATTAAACATTTGTCAAAAGCCATAGGACTATACAACCAAAGAGTGAACCCTAAATACACTATGAACTGTAGATGTTAATAATGTATCAATACTGGTTCATCAATTTTAAAAAACACACCACAGGAATGCAAGGTGCTAATTAGAGAAATGATGTGCAGGGGGGCTGGTTATATGGGAACTCTGTAATTTCTGCACAATTTTTCTGTAAATCTAAAACTGATCTAAAAATTAAAGTCAGTTTCTTTTTTGTTTTTTATACATGATGAATTTTATTTAAGGAAATGAAAAAGACTTTTGTATAGCAACTGGAAAGTTTGTTTATACACAGTTGCAAATTATATTTCACAAAACAGAAAATAACATTTCATCAGAAGCTTTGTTTTGCAAACAGCACATACTTTACTGGAGTTTAACTGAAAACTTAAGTTTTTCTATTCTGTAATTTTTTTTTTTTTT